GAGCAGCTCCTCCCCCAGGCGCAGCTCCACGCGCACGGCATGCGGCGGCCGCCCCAGGGCCTGCGGAGGCACGCCCAAACACATGCAGGGCCGACGAGCAGGCGCAGCCAGACGACCGAGCGCCGAGCACCGCCAACGCATCGGCGACGCTTGGCGGCAAAAATCCAGGGACGCTAACCCGGAGAAGCAATTAAGGAACCCCCCGGCGTTATCATTAGCACCGCGCCGTAATTAAATAATTATTTGGGGGGGTTTTCGCCGAGCGATATTATTAGCACCGCGCAAATGGAAGGAAAATAAATAATTCCAGCGCCCCGCCTCGGGTGGCATCCCAATTAGAATTGTAATGAGAATGAGAATACGGATACGAATAAGGAAAAGCTGAGAAAAGCTAAGGAAAAGCTTAGAAAAGCTGAGAAAAACCACACGGGAACCACTTTGAAACTTGTGGGACCTGCGAGACCTGCGGGACTCCGTGGGACCCGTGCGATCTGGTGTACCCCCTCCTGGTGCCAGGATAACGCTTCCGGGTGCCGGGTGCGTTATCCTTTCACCGGAGGGGGGGGGGGGGGTTCCTTAATCGCTTACTCGGGTTACTAAATACAAATTGCCGCCACTCCCCGGACCCTCTCACCGGAATTTCGGGGACAATCCGTCCGTGCGACGGCGACAGACGGCGACGGCGCCGCCGCCGCCGCCGCCGTCGTCGTCGTCGTCGCCGTCGCCGTCGCCGCCGCCGTCGCCGTCGCCGTCGCCGTCGCCGTCGCGGGCGTCGCCGCCGCCGTCGCCGCCGTCGTCGTCGTCGTCGTCGTCGTCGTCGTCGTCGTCGTCGCCGCCGTCGTCGTCGTCGTCGTCGTCGTCGTCGTCGGCGGCGGCGTCGTCGTCGTGGGCGGCGGCAGCGTTGGGCGGCGCCGCAGCGCTGGGCTGCCGCGGCGGCCCTGCGGCCCGCGGTGCCTCCGCCTGCCGCCGAGCCGCCTGCTCGACCCCGTGGCGCGGGCGGGCGCCCCTGCTGCACGGGGCGGCGGGCGCCGCTTCGGCCGGGCGCGGCGGGCTCGGCTTGTCGATGCGCGGCCTGTGCCGTGGCAGCTCATGTCGGCGGCGCGCAGAGGGGGGGGCAGGGGGAGGGGGGAGGCTTCTTAGAAGCAAGCCGCTTTTCAGAAGGCCCTGGCCCTGCGTCTGTGGGCAAGGCCCGCGCTTTCTGAGAAGCAGGGGTGATTATAAGAAGCCGGCTCCCATCTCCCTACCCCCTCTGCGCGTGGCTGAAAACGGGCCTCGAGCGAGATGACGCAACGACCTTGCGCCGCGGTTCGTGCGGGCCGCCGGCGCCGCACGCTGCAGTGGAGACGAGGGCGCTCACGAGCGAGCTTACGCGGCCAGATCGCGCACGACCCCGTTTCTCTTACCTTGCTGGCTCTTGCGAATCGACGCGAACCGACGCTAGTCGACGCTGACCCAAGTCAAATCGGCGCTGTCTCATCGACTACCAGAAGCCAGCGCCCGCTAATGAGCTCCGGAAACGGGGTTGCGACGCCACGCAGGGCCCCCGTGAGTTGCTGCCGAAGCCTGTCGATGCGCGGCCTGAGCTCGGCGCGGCTGTGCGCGAACGTGCACCCCGCGGCATCGCAGACTCCGTAGAGCAGGACGGAAGCGCATAACTGCGTCTTCGTGAAGTCTGGCAGCTCCGAGAGGCTGTCCTGACCGTGGGCGAACTTGCAGTCGGCGCCCCTCGAGCAAGCACCGACGGCGAAGAACTTGCAGAGCTTCGTCTTGAGGAACATGGCGCTGGCCGCGAAGGTCTCCTGGTCGCGCTCACCTCCGATGCTCGCTCGCGGCCGCTGGCCTCCACTGCCTGCCACACGCTTTGGCGCCCTGGACCTGGAATTGAGCGACATGCTGGGAAGCGACACCCGCAGACGACGGACGCGACTTTTGGAAACCACTGGAAATCGTCGAGGGCGAGCCTTCTTCTGGAACTTGGGCCAACGACGTCTATGGATGGAGAAGGGCGAGAAAGACGAGGGTGACGTCGGACGAGCAGGAAGACGAGGACGGGCACGACGAGGACGAGCCGAAGGAAATGCAGAAGATCAACACAAGGGGCCCTGGCGGCAGCCTGAGTGTAGGCCTGGGCCGTTGTACTATTGTCTTGCGTGCTCTGAAGGCAGAACAATTCAACTGCGCCGCTGGCAAGAACATAATGAGGCAGGAGGGGGGGAGGAGGCAATTGGAAACGGGATATGGGTTTGGTTGGACTCGAAAGCGCCATACATTTAAGTACAATTCCGAACTCTGCGAATGTGAAGAATAGGTTTGAGCACTACTCAAGGGTGACGGCAATTTAAACCCATGAGGGGCCGCTCGACATGAACAAAAACACAAATCATGTGCCGAAGAACTCAGAGGTCAAGTTTCCGCGACAGCATATATATATGTATATAAATACATATACATATATATATATGTATAAATATATATGTATACATGACTGCAGTGGCACTTCGCACCATGCACCTCGTTCCTTGTGAGTTCGAATGCAGGCGGCGTGCGCGCGCGTGGACGCGGGGCCGGCCACCGCCAAGTCGGAGTGGGTCAGGATCTCCTAAGCGGGAGCGACTTGACAACGCTGGCTCTGGCCAGCTCAGGGCGTTTCTGTGCCCAGAGGCGCGAGCAAGTCTCAGGCGACTGGTTGGGGTAGCATGAAGCAGGGCATCCTCCTCCTCTTGCTCTTCCTCCGCATGTTCCTCCCCCTCTTTCTCATCTTCATCTTCATGCTCTTTCTGCTCTTCCCTCCTTTTCCTCATTCCGCTTCCTTCTCCTCTCCCTTGTTTTTACCTCTCCGATTTCTTTTCCGATTGTCTCTTGAGGCGTATAGATGCCTCCAAGACGGCTCCATTTGAGTCCCCAGACGAGTCCCAAAGAGACCCAAGGCTGGCGCAACTGGGCCGGGAGAGAGGGGCCCAAGGACGGACGAACTTGGGAAAATCATTGGAAAGCAAGGATTTTCGTCTTCTCGCCTTGTCGCTTCCGGGGCACTCTGGGGTCGTCTTGGTTGGCTGCTCCAGGGAGGCCCCGGGGCCTCCCATGGGGGCCTCTTGAGGGCGTCTTGGGTGTCTCTTGGGCGGTCTCGGGGAGGTCTTGTGTGCTTCGGGGGCCGCCTTGGAGCGTCGGGAAGCGAAAACGTCGTGCATGCCAAAAAATACGTTTTCCCATGAGAAATTGAACAATTTAAGCCTCCGGGGCTCTCTTGGGAAGGCTCTTGGGGTTGCCTTGGGCGGTCTTGGGGGCCTCTGGGGCAATCTCGGGGCCATCTTGGGCGCACGGGTGCCCTCGGGGCCTGTCTTGGAGCGCTCTTGGGGCACTCTGGAGCCGTCTTGGCTGCTCCAGGGAGGCTAAAGGGCCTCCCATCGGGGCCTCTGGAGGGCGTCTTGGGGGTCTCTTGGGCGGTCTTGTGTGCTTCGGGGGCCGCCGTGGAGCGTCGCGAAGCGAAAACGTTGTGTTTGTGGAAAATCCCATGGGAAATTGAACAATTTACGCCTCTCGGGGCTCTCTTGGGAAGGCTCTTGGGGTTGCCTTGGGCGGTCTTGGGGGCCTCTGGGGCAGTCTTGGGGCCATCTTGGGCGCACGGGTGCCCTCTAGGCCTTTCTTGGAGCGCTCTTGGGGCACTCTGGAGCCGTCTGGGCTGCTCCAGGGAGGCTCCGGGGCCCCCCGTCCTCCCATGGAGGGTCGGGGCAGCTGTGTTTGGGCCGCGGCACAGCCCGTCAGGGATATTTATATATATATATATATATATATATATATATATGTGTGTGTGTATGTATACACATACATACGTATACACACATATCTATATATATATGTATATATATATATAGATACCACATATATTTATATGCACACATACATATCTATATATATAATATATATATATATATATATATATATATACATATCTATATCTGTATATATATACACACCTATATACAGGGTCGGGGAGCCCACACCCCAGCGCCCCCCCCAACGAATTTGGCCCTCCCCGGGCCTCTGGGCAACCCTTCAGACGACCCGGGAAAACCTCACGAGAGCCCGAAGACGGCCCCAGATGGATTCCAGGCATTCCAGCTCTCTCCCGAAACGACCCCAAAAAGCTTCACTACGGTCCTGGACGACCCCTAAGAAACCGTCATAACCCCAAAGATCGCTCCGAAACGTCCCAAGAGGCCTCCAAGAGCACTCCCAAGAAGGCCCCGAGAGGCAAACATCATTGATTTTCTGTGGGTCGTTTTGTGAGTTTGGGGGTTCTCCTGCTTTCGGCTTGCCGACGCTCCAAGACGGCGTTCTGGGCGTCCGCAGCCGCCTGGGAGGTTCCAAAATCGCCCCACAACCATCCGAAAGGGCTTCCAGGCAAGCCAAGCGAGCCCCAAAACGGCACTACAGGGGTCCAGGATGGCCCTGAGAGAACCCCATGGCGGCCCAAGAATGCCCCAAGACACCCTCCGAAGCATTCCAAATCGTGACCCGGTCGTTCAGGGAGACCGCGGTTGGAGGCATGGTGGCCCGAGGAAGCCTCCAGAGGCCCCCAGAACACGCCCAGGAGGCCTCCAGAAGGCCTTCAGAAAGCCTGAAAACTTGTGTGAGGCCCCTAGAGGCTCTCCACGGAGGAGCCTCGGCAAAAAGAGTTGAGGAGGATGGGGGGAATACGCAGGGTATGGCGAGAATGAGGAAAAAGAAGCATGGATGAAGGATAACGAATAACATTATTATAACGGCGATGACAGAAAAGGCAACAAGGAGGTATTGCTAAATTGTCGGCTTGACCTTCCTGCCATTCCGCCTGCATGCCAGCATACCAAGCTTCAAGGACTAAGGTGCATGGCGCGAAGCGCCACTGCAGTCTTGTGTATATATATATATACATATGATCCCCGGCTCCGAGCCCACGGCCCACCCCCCCTCCAGATGGGATGGGTCTCAGGGTCCCTCGGGCCCCCCCCCCTGATGGG